ATTTCTATTGTTTGTAATTTAAAATAAGTACTGGGTTTAACCCACTGTACAGAGTTTGTTGAACAAAGCTCAGTTGACAGAATTTACTCTATACATTAAGTCATGATGGACATTTTTCAGTCTTGCACTTAAACAGTATTTTGCCTTCCACGGACCACAGGGGTCAGATCTAGTGAAGACGACTAAAAATGTACATTTTGGGAGGGGTTTGGTTGTTTTAAGAGTCAAAACGGATGCTTGTGTCTCAGAGCACATCAATTTTCATCTTTAGTTTGGTGCAAAAATTTCCTAAATGCTATTGAAAATCTGCCATTTTGTGGCACAAATGTTTCCTATCCTGTTGCTAAGCCATAAAGGTAGGTTTATAAACCCAATGAATTAGTTCACATAGCACGTAGAGCACAATGGGTGAATGTGGTTAAAGTAATCAACTTTAGCCTTGAATGGCTGCTTGGCTAATTATTCCCCACAAGTAGTAGGCATTCCCTATTTACGAATACAGTGCGCAACTCCATGATATGCAGGCCATAGCTTTGTAAAAAATTCCTCCATTCCCATACTTATGCATCCAAAATCATGTAAGGGATTTGAAGAAAGGATGTGTGGCAGCAGACATTAAATCCTTAAGTCCCAGCTTGATCTAGAAAGTGCATTGCTTTATTTCCTCTTCCATTCCCACATCTGTCCATTTGTGTACAGTAATGGATTTGCAGAATGTATAGAGCAGGAATGGGCACATTTATCTTTGGGTATGAACAAAAGATGCATAGTAACACACATTGAAGCAGTAAGAAACACTTGTCCTGATCAAGAAGGTCTGGTGCTTTATTTCATCAGTGTGCCGAGTGTTAAAACAACTCATCAGAAACTGTGGGTCCCTGCAACAGAAAAATGCTCCCACATCAAAGAAGGAATTTAAAAAGATACATACTAAAAAGCAAAGAAAGTGTGATATTTGACATTACTCACTTTGTGTTAGCATATTTTAAAAAACAGTTGAAAATAAAATGAATACCATTTGGAAAAATAGTAACACCTCCCCCCTCCCGTCTTTTTAAGCTTCTCTGAAAGAAATTCATAGCTGTACATTGGAGATGGGTATGTGATTAAAATATTCTGATACCCTCTTTCTCTGCCACTGGAGAAGGTTTTCCAAGATTCAAAAGACCACATTCTCATACACAGACTCAGAACAAATAACTTTTCAGTTCAAAGCTCACATTCTTTGGCATTCCAGAGTTAAAAATGTGTATATGTATGTGAATACCAGCTTTCAAATCCAAGCTATTTTTAAAAAACCTCCAACTACAACAGCAAGGCCAATTTGGTGCGTTGCTTTGAGGTGGGGTAGAATTAGTTACTTTTCGACAGTCTATCTCTCTAGCCATTCCATAAAGAGATTCAGCTGGCCATCCACCATCATTATACACTTGATAATCCCCTATATTGCTCATACTTCTGCTTGTGCTACATTGAGCAATTCAAAGCTCAAGCCTTGAAGCACTTCCAAGTTTCCAATGAGGTCCTTCAAGCTTTCCATTGCACTGCCATTCCAGTGATCTCTAAATCTCATCCTAAAATGCTTTCCAAGAGCTACAGAGTGATCCAAATCCCAGAGAGTTTGAAATCAACATCTTCAGGCCAACTCAGAGAAGCGCAGTCTCGGGTCACAGGGCTGAGAACCAAGAAAGCTTTGAAACTAGCTTATTTGTAGTGCAGAGAACCAATCCAATGATTAAATTACATTTTGAAGAACTGATAAGTAGATCTGAAATCAGTATTCACAAAAACTGTTCAGCAAATGAAGTTTTCTAATTTTGCCATTTTACCTCTAGATGGAGAAAGATCTAAGCCAAAGATTAGTAGTAAATATTTTGCTTATTGAATGATGTCAAATATGGCGTGCAAGTGGTTTTTATCCTGCTTTCTGGGGAATTCTGGTTCCTTTGGAAGGTTGCAGGACCCTTTAGAATGTTTGTGGTGAAGAAATTTAGGGACCAAATGTGTTCCAGCTTTATAACAGGGATAGAAGAAACTGTGTGTCCAGCATTTTGCTGCCTGACAGGGTTTATTCTCTTGGCGAATATAGGAGACAGTAATAATCAGTGCAATGTCTGGTGCAGAAATTTTTTTTTGAAATAGATCTCTATCAGCATTCAGCTCTTATCAACCCAGCTTTCAGCCTTCTAAGATGATTCTCAATCAGCCTGCATTGCTACCTGACTGATACAAAATGTTTTCTTCTTGCTTTGCCAGATAACGCCATTGTAGAATACTTTTCCCAGCCCCAACAATGGTGTAGAAAGAAGGCAAAGCACTCATATCCTGCACCATCTGAGTGTCATTTTCCATGGTTCTCCCGCCCCCACCTTGGTGTGAAACAGAAGATATTGCACTCAAATGATGTGATGGATCATCTGGTTTTCTATCCAGCAAGGTTGTAAAAATAGTTGATCTGTGAATGCCAATGAATGAGAAGATACCTCTACCTTTGAACATTCAAGAGGATTCAAAGACTACCTTAGAAAAAAGACACACCACAGAATACTTTGGTCAAGCAGAAGTGGTCACCCCTCAGCACAAGCAGATGCTGCCAACCCAACATTTCCTTTAGTGCTACTTAAATGTGAAAGCTCAGGTTTGGATTAACAATGCTACTCATACCTGGAACAGAGTCAAGGTCTTTTCACAATGCTATGACAGAACAGCCAAACCTTGAACAAAACATATAATATAAAAAGTTAACTTCTGCTATGCAAAGTTAGCAATGGCAGCTGTAACAAAACACTGATGTGAAACACTGTACACACGTGTACGCGCACACACTGCACAACCATGAACATGTCTTCTCATAATAACACACATTTTAACAAGCCACCATTGTTATTCACTGGCTTTTTTTTAAATAACAGGTTCTTAAATGTGGGGAGGGAGCAGCATAAAGGGAACTGTTAACAAGGCATTTAAGAATGTTCAGGTTGTGCCAGTCCTGGATGGGGAGAAAAGGGATGACATCTTGGTTAACCAGGAGATGCCTTTCTATTCATCTTCAGAAAGACACATATTGGGAGATGGAGGTAACTTTGGGGAATCCAGCAGATTGTTCTGCACAGACTGAATCCAAATCCAACAAGCGATCAATCCAAGTTTTTAGTCCTAACACCCAAGTCTGTTCAAACATCCATTTATCCCAAAACCAAGACCACTGTTCCAGGATAGTCCAAAAGAGTTCCCTTCCTCTTCACTGTTTTAGAACTCTTCAAATCTTCAGAGTGTTCCTACAAATCTCCAGTCTGAATGCACTGATCCCGTTTGCTTCTGGCCTAGTCTGTGACAAAACAGAACATAATGCTCCTTTGTTTAGGCAACCTTTCATGTCTAGTTTGTCTAGTTGCTTTTTCAAGTCTTTTCTTCCATTTCTCCAGGTCATTTCTGAAGCATCAGAAGAACATGGTACTCTCCTACAAGACTACAGAGAAAAGCAACAGGGTGTGGGCACAGCCCACGTGGGAATGGGAAATGTCAGCCAACACAACACATTATTTTAGTGCCAGCATTTCCACGTCCTAAAGCTTCAGGCCTAAAGTGAGACCACGGGAAACTCTTGGGAAGAGATACCTAAATTGTCACGACTGAACATTCTTGTTTGTCCCACTTTTGGATAGCAAGGCTTATACTGAGTCACATAAATAGCCTGGAAATACTCAGTGGGGCAACTTCTACATTGTGAAGTCAATGGAAGGAGAAGCATTATTCAATGTGAGGATCTGAAATGAACAAGAGAGGAGTGTATTTTTAAATAAACAGTACTTGAAGACCACCAGCAGATAATCCTGGGACCATCAAATTTGTTTTGCTAAAATCTTCTCTCAGGTGCCAATTGATCTGACCTAACAAAACCATCCTTTGTAACATGTTATATTTAAATTGGGCTACAAGCCTGTTTGTACACTTTACCGACTCTGCCACATCAAGATGCAATTATTCCGGCCCATTCCTACAAGCATGGTAGACTACACCGCATTCAAACATATTATTTGGGAGGTTCAGCTCCTTGCTCTAACCATGAGCTGAGGTGTTTAACTCTGAATTACCAGGTATAAAGGACTTTGCTACAACATACTGGGGACTCTATTTGTCTCCAGGTATGATGGAGGCAGAATCTCTCAATAGCGTCACCCATTTTGCTGGTCGATGCACTGTTGCAAAATATGGTTGGGAACCCTTCCTCAACCATAGCTTTCTTCATTAACTAGATGTGGTATCATTTATGTAGTGAAGAAGTATGTTTATATTAGTTCAGGGGTCTGGACTAATAGAGATAAAGGATAAGTGCCTATTTCCCAAGGTGCGTCCCCAACTGCTTGGAGAAGACGGCCTGTGTCTATTTTTAAAAAAATAACAAATGTACTCAATAGATTACATCTAATTTGGTTTTTAAGCCCATACTGGCTGACTGAACCTTGGTGTAAGGCATGCTTATCTACTCACTGACTGGGTTCACTAAAAATGCCAAATGCAGCTTAAGGAAACACTACTTTGGGACATTACTAAGCCCAAAGAAATAAAGCCATGTTAACATTATGGTCTGGGTCACACCACTTGTTAAACCAATGGCTGGATTCCCACAAAGGCCTAAACCACAGACTGCCCACTTTACCCTTATCTACCAACTTGATATATAATCAATGAAAATCATGTGTTGTGTGAACCCAACGAGTCTAATGCTTTTGGCAGGTACGTTATTATCGCCTGTGCAGGGAACAGAAAAAAGGCAATTAAAAAGAATGGATGATTAAAGAGGCATTCTTTATATGAAGGGAAACAAGAGATAAAGTAGAAGAGCACCATGATAAGAGATCCAAAGCTTTTGAATGGTGCGGTGAGATAAGAGAGCCAGGAAAGAGAGCACATGCTCTTTTGGTGCTCAGAAATTAGCCAAGGCCAACAATTTGGAGGGTTGGTGCTTCAATTGCCTGCTTCTTTATTTTGCCATCTTCACTGTTCAGCATGTGATAGGTAAATGGACCAACGTGATCCACACTTGGCTGTAGAGTTGAGTTATGCTGCCACGTTGTCAAAATCATGAAGGCTAAACAGTATATCCAATCAGAAGGCAGCTTTAGATTTATGGATAATCTCTTGGAAAAATGATAGTTTAAATGAAAGGGGAACTGCTTGCAGATGGCAGTGTGAGCAGGAGACCATCTGAACATCTCCTGAATAGACAGGGATGTTATTAAATGAGGCTGATAAAGCTTAGAATGGACTCAAATTGAGAAGGTTAAAAATGTACACCCTATCTTTGATAACATGACATTATGACAGAATAGAGAAATTAATCACTATCACCCTCTCATATAATTACCCAGACATTCCATCTGTACTTCTAGCTGACAACCTGAGTCTGGGAAAGAACTGGGGAAGCAAATAGTTTTGCAAACATAGTGTCCCAGGGGAAGAGAAGCTGAAGTGGGCTAAGAGGCTGGCAAGAAGTTAGTAGTGTTGGAGTCTAACAGTGCAGGAGAAGAAGAAAAATGATTTGCAGGCATAGATGGAATTAGGCAGTCTTAGGCTGCTGAACAGATGTAGATTCCAGTGCGATTCAAAATCTCTGAAGAGCAGTTGCCATAGAAACCACTATGCAAGGAGAATAATGCAACTGGAGATCTGTCCATCTGGTGCGGATGCCTATAGGGAGAAGAGGCTTTGAAGATACAGTACAGGAAAAATCAAGATTGCATTAGCTATGAGATGTTGACAGCTAAGTTTTAACAAAGCCCTTGATTAACTCTTTGAGGAATTTTGTAATACACACTTAGCTACAGCATAAGATAGGTACACTGTCCTAATACCAGAAGCAAAATTATTAAAGGCAAGGACATAGCTAATCTCAGGATTGTGAAGCAATTAAGCCATAAAGCAATTTGCCGCATTTCATTTTCCTTTGATTACTGTAGGCACCATCTGCCTTCTAATATCCATCTTTGATACACTTCAAATAAAAAAATTGAACCTGCTCACAATAAGATTCTTGCGTGCTGTACCTTGTCTGGTCAATCCTAAGAACTGATGAAAGACATGTTTTGCCTATTACTTCTGATACGAAATATGGGCTATTGAACTATACTCCAATATTTAGTAGCACAATGTCATTTGCCATCTCCTGACTCATTCCCTCTGCCATTCTTCCATTGTGTTTTCTTGTGACAAAGTAATGATTAGCTGGGGTTGCTCAACCTCAACAGACGTCAGGTGGACTGGGCCCAGAACATAGTCCTCAGTCTCTCTCTCAAGAGTGGCATGGAAGTGTCACTTACTCTGCACTTTCCAGTTATGCTGGATATGATGGTTGGAGAAACAGCAGAGAGATTTCAGAAAAGCATGTGCGTTATGCATACATACTTACCTCATAGGAACAAAACATGCTCCCTTATCTTGAATCAGTTCACTGGTCCACTAACTCAATTTTTTCTATATCTAGACCAATCAGCAGCAGTTCTATTGGATTTACCAGAGATGTCAAGTTTTGACGTGGGACCTTCTACGTGGAAAACAGATGCCTTATCACTGAGTATTTGAGATCCACACTTTATTCAGAAAGGGCAACAGGCAGATCTCTTAAAATACTGGAAATATGGGCATAGTCAACTATGTTTCCTGAAGCTCAACAATGTGTTCAACACATAAGATATGACACTGTGAGCAGTAGTAGTGAAGGTTGCTTCAGTGGGGTTGGGGTCATGATGATGGTGGTGGCAGAGGGATGCAGATGGACTTTGATCTATTTACTTTCTCAGTGTAGATTGCACAATTGTGGTTTTCCGCAAAAAGAGCAAAAAATGCTATGATGTGGCCACAGATGGGTGCCACATCTAAAAAATGGTAGACATATATTGAATCCAGAGCTCTTCTCTTTCATATGTATCAATTTTTTCCACCACTGGTTTCCCCATTCATTTGTTGCCTCTACTGATGTCTCTTATAAATAAGTAAAATTGAGACCTACTCTGGTGATGAGCCAGTGATAGAGCTGTCTGGATGAAAAGATATTGGGTTTAAGGCACCCAAGAGATTCCCCAGTGCACAGCTATGGGCTCCCCCCTTTGATTCTTCAAGTTCTTATTTTCCCAAGAACTGCAGATGTTGCTGCTGCCACATGAGAGGCCTGCCTTTTCGAGAAACAGATGTAATTGCTGTCAGTGAGGCATCTTCTCACTGAGATAAGCTGGAGCTTCCCCACTCAGCTTTATTGCACATTTTTGTTATGAAGTAAACATTAAAACACAAGCTCATTTGCCTGTCCAGTGTCACCCCTGCAAGAGGCTACGGTTGGTGCAAATCATTTTCTCTACTCTCAGTGTTTCATGAGTGGATACAAACAAGAGGAACAAACAGAAAGTTCCCCTGGGGAGACAGAAGCTGCCAGAGCTTTGTGAATTCCAATCCTCCCCATCACCTTGAACCATGAAGCTGCCAAGTGCAACTCAAAGAGCAAATGCCCACAAGCTCTTCGCAGGATGCCAGAGGCCTGGTGGTGCCTTCTCAGCTCTTGTTATGGGACAGACTCAAACTTATGAACCCCCCCTCTCATCCACACTATGGAGGGCAGATGCCGGTCATGGTCTTTATCTGACTCGGGCTGGCTTTGGGCACGCTCTGGCTTGGGGGTCAAGGATGGTGGGTCAGGCTGCTGGACAGACATAGTTCTCCGGAGATGATTCCTCTTGCGCAGGAAATCAGGCTGCGAGTGAAGACCAAAGCTGCCTTTCCTTAGGATCATGCGGGAATTGTTCTTCTTAGGCCGGGAAGGGAGGCTGAACTCCAGGGAAGCCAGGTGGGCTGCATAACCTTCGCTGAGAAACTGGAGGAGAAAAGGAGAACAAAAATGACAATGTTCAGCATTGCTCTTCTCCCAAAACTCCAAGCAACCAGACTAAAAGCCAACAAAGGACAAGTGGACCAAGAATAGACCAATCAACTGGCTCTCTCCCTGGGGCCACCTGAAAGGATTAATACACTATTTGTGTCACGGAATTGGCCAGGGAAGTGGTTTCTGCGGTGGAGGGCAAAGTTTGTCCACATCTGTAGTAAGAAATGCACAGAACGCAGGGATTTTGCAGCCTCCACAGAGGGGTGGGTGGGCAAGAAACATTAAGCTAGTTTTGGATTAGCCAGAGGAAAACATGGGAAACACAGTAGACTGCTTGAATTTGTTTATACACCGAGAATGCTTAACTATTAGAGTTGATCAATTGTCCTAATTGACAGCTAACCTGTTTAAAATGCAGGATTCTGAAATCAGCAAACATTAGCAGGCATAACCAAAGCCATATTTAGGGTGCACAACTTAATGAGCTAGAAGCCACTGTGAAGAAGATAGGGTGCACAAAACAAGTTCTGGCAGGGAAGAGAATAAATAAGAAGCACAGGCTATATTCAAATTAGAAACAAACTCTCTTCATTCAATTTACTGCCTTTGTCAGATTGCTAGAGAAAGAAGCAAGTTAGAAATAACTACGTGTGGTCAAAGATAAGGCTGCCCTTTTCCTAAAACAATTACTGTTTGTTCTTAACAAGGTAGGGAAGAAGATGACATATGTAATCAGCTTGATAACAGTGCCTGTAAATTTTGTCTTCTATTAAGAACACCCTGTGGCCACAGATTAATAAAAACTTCAGAGCACTCTTCAGCTGTTTGGTTTTATTGCCTTAAATTAGGAAAAAGGGGAATTTTTTCCTGTAGCAATAAAACACAGTCTTTAGCCATGCCACGTGCTCTCTTCAGACAGCAGCAGCTGCTGAATTCCTGATTGGGAGGGCTGAACAATTTGTGAGTTTGACTGCTGTGTGTACTCGTTGGCTTCTAACTCTGTAGAAGGTGGACTGCAAGAAAGTCTTCCCTGCTATGGAGTCCAGGCTTTCATTCTCCTTATTTCCAGGGTTCCTTTCCAAGTAGCACATAGATATCAAATAAAGGCAATTTTATTTGAACATGACTGATACAGACAGCTCGTCTTCCTTTACTCAATAAATATGTGATGGTATATCTTGTCTATTAATTTGATTTTTAAAAATGCATTATTTTTAAGCTGCCTTGACAACTCTATGGATAGGAAGGAATGGTAAATGTAAAGACTCCCTTGAGATAAGCTTGGTTCCTGGACACATCCATGTAAGGTTTTTGGGCAATGATACAAAGGTGGTTTGCCATTGTCTTTTTCCAGGATTTTTTTCCAACCTCTCAGTCTAGCCTACAGCCCTGGAATTTTCTTTTGGTCTCCCATCCAAATACTAACAAAGTCTGGCCTCATTTAACTTTTAAAACAAATCAGGTATAAATCACAGCAATACAACATAAGATAAATAGAAAATAGTTGCTGATGACCATTGCAGGTATTATTCTGGTAGTATGGAAAACCACCAGATATAACATTTAAATAAATAAGATGATTTATGGCTTGGAAGCATTACATTGGAAAAGGTCTTAGATGTAGTCACTGACAACAAGTAGAACCTGAGGCAGCAATGTGAGACAGCTGCTGGAAGGGCTAACACAGTTCTGGGCTGCATTAGAGGAAGTATTGAATCAAAGACATGTGAAATTCTTATTCCCCTCTAGGGACTTACAACCAGTCCTCGCACTTACAACCCCCGCAGTCATGTGATTGTGATCCGGACACTTGGCAACCAGCTTGTACTTATGACGGTTGCAGCATCCTGGGATTGCCATTTGCGACCTTCTCAGCTGGCTTCCAGCAAGCAAAATCAATGGGGAACCACATGATTTGCTTAACAACTGTGTGCTTCGCTTAATGACCATTGTAAAATTGGGCGGGACTCACTTAACTGCTTGTGATGGACTGGAATGGAGGAAGGGGGGTGAAAATGGAACTCTCGTCTCCAAAGCAACGCTCTGGAGATAAGCGGAGAAAGCTGGCGCATCCCTAAACATTCCAGAAGATAATAGAGAGTTGTGCCTGGGAACTGCTGGTCAGTCTGAGAAGATTGGTGTCAGGCCTAGCCCAAAGAACTCCTGAAGACCATGCAGGTTCAATCAGCAAGGTTTATTTGCCAGCACCTGTTTACAGAAATCTTTACAGAAATTTACAGAGCGTTGCTCTAGAGACGAGAGCTCCGTTTTCACCCCCCTTCCTCCATTCCAGTCCATCACACCGCCCTGCTTAACAACAATTTTCCAGTCCCTATTGTGGTCATTAAGCGAGGACTACCTGTACTCTTGAAATGTTGTGTATAATTCTGGCATCACATTTTCAGAAGTATGCTGACAACTCAGAACAGGTTCCAAGGACGGTGACAAAGATGATTCTGTGACTTGAGGACATGCTCTATGAGAAAAAACTGAAGGAACTTGGGATGTTCAGCCTGGACAAGACTGTGGGGAGACACATCAGGTACACAAAAGAGTGCCATATCTTTGGCCAGGAAACTAGGACCAGAAATAATGGGTATAATAGAAGGGAATATCTGTAGCTCAGGGTTGAACTGTGGAGTTTTTGGTACTCTCTGAGCTTGGTTGTTTCCTTGCAGGCATTTCATTATCCAATGAAAGTCATATTAATGATATTACCTAGTTGGGTAATGAAATGTCTGAAAGCAAACAATCAAGCTCAGAGAGCACCAAAAACTCCATAATGGGTATAAATTGCAGCTACCTAGATTTTATTTAAATATAAGGAAAAACTTTCTAATTGTAAGATCTGTTCAATGGTACAACTGTCTACTTATGAAGCTTTGGGATTCTCTGGAAGTTTTTAAGAAAGGCTGAACAGCCACCTCTCAAGGATGGTTTCATAAGTTTTCATGTACACTACAGAGGGTTGGAGTAAACCAGTGTTCCTCAATCTCAGTGACTTTAAGATGTATGGACTTTAACTCCCAGAATTCCCCAGCCAGCATGGAGAAATGCTGGACTAGGTGATCTCATTTCACAATTCTATGATTCTAAGAAGTAAATAAGGAGAGTGCCTGTATCCTTTAATATGCTTCTATATGGAGCATGCAGGCACATAAGACTAATCTCTCGTTTGCTGCTGCTGCTGCTTCAGTCAAATTCCATCTTACAATGGTAAATTCTACAATGCCTCCATGACCCTTCTTACTTTCTAGGCCCTTAAGTCTCCCAGAAAAAGAAAAAGAAAAGTCACCTGGCACAGAGTCTGATATTTCTTTGCTGGTCGTCCAACAATGTAAATTTGGGAAGGGGAAAGACCCAGGACATTATACACCGAAATGTCCTTCATGGAGCCATATGCAGCACAAATTTTGATGTGGCACTGAAGGAAGGGAGAAATGTCAAAGGTTAGCCATTAAAATATGGCACCATTCAGAGCCCAGCACCCCTTTTTGATGCACCAATTGACCCATGTCATCAGTCTGGGTTACTAGCAGTCATGAGTTTGAACTATGAACTATATGGATTAGCCTACATGCTACAGTTGTCTTTGGCCATGAGTCTGATCCAACTGCCCAGGAAAGTTAGTGTCTAGTTAACAAAGCTTCAAAGCTTCCCCATTCAATGCTCCTAAAAAGTCAAGGAGGAAAGCTATCAACTATCTATTACCTCTTGCACAAGATTCCGGAGAAAAATGGTCTTCTGCCTTAAAGGATCATGAACAAGACCATCAGAGAAGAAAATCATTCCCTGAGGGAAGTTGTGCTGAGATAGCCATGAGACAACACGTTGCTTCTGCATGTCAGGACGTCCTGTGATATAGATGATCAAGTAGCCAAGATCTTGCCAATGCCTGTGTTAGAAAGAAGAGAGAAGCACCTGGATCCCTGAACAGTTTATGACTACTCTGCTCTGGTAGAATCCCAGAGGGGAGGGTGGGAATGGGAGGATACAAAAAGGTGAGAAGCTGACTATAGGGGAAATACAGATGGCTAGGAAGTGGGAAGGGACTGGACTACACATGACGGCTGTGAAGGTGAAGAGGTAAGGAGCTGAGGTCCCATGGTTATTAGCATGCAGTAACAGATAGAGATGGGGGATAAATTTATATAGTTTATAACTGAATGCAAATGTACTGCATTTTAAAAAATTTCTGAACCAATAAATAAAACAAAAGTGAATTATCCTTCAAAATTTGCATTTCTCTGTATTATTTAATAACAGTCTAGTCTACTTAATAATTAGTTCCCTGTTTTACTTCTCTGTTATCAATTACTTTCAATTTCAATTTTCTCTCTAATCTTTCTCTCTTAGATAAATGTTTGCAAATTATGCATAGTATCAATGAAAAATATAAAAATGCATATTAAAAAAGATGGTGTGTAAAAGCTGCAGACACTGATCTAAAATACAAATAAGAATAAATATGCTTGTGAAAATAGCACAAAAATAGATAAACATTTCAGTGCTCACTATTCTTCAACTTCAAGTTAGGACAGGAATGCAATGAACCCAAACTTTTAAGTGAAAAAAATGAGCAATGGAAAGAGATTAAAATTAACAGAATTGTAAACATGCGAAAACACAAATAAATCAATTTGTCTATTTGGAGTCTTTGATCAAGGAATATGGCTCTTAATGCAGAAATGTTCCTTATCCCTTATTCAAGTTAATCCAAAACATCAGCTGCATTTCTCAGGATCTTTGAAGGTCATTCTTTTAGTGGACATCAGATTCCATTTCCTCTCAGGAGATGCTTCTCCACCCTTTCCATTAAAATCTTAAAAAAAACACCACAAAAACCAACCCACCAACTCTATGAAACTCATTCACTCCTGCCTGTCTAAACATTTCCTGAGAAAGGGTGGGGTGTAGTAATCAGCAGGACGACGGGATTCAGAGTCCACTGAGATAGTGAAAATTTCATAAAGGAAGAGGAACATTCAATCTGAATCTGACAAGACACAGCATAAAGCCCATTTGGAAGCTTATGTTGTGACAATATGTGCAGCAAAGAAGCATTTTTTCCCTACATATATTGCATCTGCCCACTTGGTCTGAGTTCTACTCCTCCCTTCTCCCACAGTTCTATTATAGAAACTTCAGAGAATGTAACACTTTAAATTAGTGTTTTTGCAGATAAATTATTTTACATTTGAGCCTATCTGGATACTACCTTTAACACAGAGTTAACCATGAGAGTGCCTTCTCTTATAGAGTTGAACTGGATCAACTTCAATTTGAAATACTTGAGGATGTGGACAGGATGCTTGAAACATTATTTCTTTTGTAACCTTGTGCAATTTGACTTGTAACTTCTAGCCAAGAGGCTATTAGAGACATCTTACTTAACATTATGCATGCCTTTCTGAGGGAAGGCAGGATGCCTCTTTATTTAAAGGAGACAGTTACCAGATCTCTTCTCAAGGAGCTTGCCCTTAAGAAGATAGGCAATTAAAGGCTAGTCTCTAATTTACCATGGTTGGTAAGGGGATTAAGAGACTGGTAGCTTATCAACTGTAGCCAGTCCTAGAGGAAGCAGATTATTCTACTGACACTGTCAAAAGTCTTCAGTTTGTGGCAACACAATGTGATAAATAAAATCCAATAAAATAATGACCCATTTCAAACTGGCTTCAGGGCAGGCTACGGAGTTGAGACTACCTTGATCGGCTTGACGGATGATCTTTGTTTGGGCAACAACAGAGGGAGTGGGAATCTATTAGTTCTTTGTATTCTCTCTCTGGCTATAGATACTATCAACTATGGTAGCCTAGATCACTGAGATTTAGAAATAGGAGCCACAGCTCACCAATGGTTCCATTCCTACCTTGGGCAGAGTTTGTATGGTGCTGCTTGGAGAGAGTTGCTCAGATTTGTCTATGGGGCAAGGGAGGATAGAGGTTGCAAGCAGAGTCATGGCACAAGACCTTCCCTTTCTATATGCAGTGGGACATATGATGCACTCCTAAAAGGGGAGCAGCTAGTAGCATGAGGTTGTTTTCATCATTCTGACAAAAGCAGTGATAACCTATGGATGCACTGCAGTTGTTTCTCTAAATAGGAGCTCTTATAAGTCCCTTGGGGTTCCATTTGGCCTCCAATGCTTATCAATATCTACATGAAACTGCTAAGGGAGATATCAGAGATTTGGAGCTAGGAGATATTAGTATGCTGATGACACTCTATTTCTCTGAAACATCTTCAGGAAATGGCAAGGTTTCCCTGGATGCCTGTCTGCAGTCAGTAATGGGCTGAATGAGGGACAATGAACTGAAACTGAATCCAGACAAAATGAAAGTACTTATTGTAGGAGACCATAATTCCAGAGACATGGTAGTTCTGTCTGTTCTGAATGGGATTACATTCTCCCAGAAGGAGCAGGTAGGCAGTCTGGAGGAGCTTCTGGACAAATCTCTCTGATTTCCAGACTGAAGAAAAAACCAGGAATCCTTTGGTTGAGACACCAACTGTGTCCCTTTCTGAAGAGAATGACTTAAACTGTGGTACATACACTGGTAACATCCAGGCCTGACTCTAAAATAGTCAAAATGCAAATTAAACAAACATCCCCCACAACCATACTATCGGTCAACACAAAATCAAAGAGGAAGAAAAGGTAGGAAATCCCCCTTTGTTGCCCAGCGTGCTCCACTGCTGCTTTGACCAGTGCCACCACAGAGTCACAGGAGAAAGTAGGAAGGGCTTTGGGGGCATATGAGGGAGGCAGGAAACACAATTCTGAATGGCTGGTGTGGGTCTTCCGGGCTGTGTGGCCGTGTTCTTGGTGTGGGTCTTCCGGGCTGTGTGGCCGTGTTCTTGGTGTGGGTCTTCCGGGCTGTGTGGCCGTGTTCTTGGTGTGGGTCTTCCGGGCTGTGTGGCCGTGTTCTTGGTGTGGGTCTTCCGGGCTGTGTGGCCGTGTTCTTGAAGTGAACTTCAAGAACACGGCCACACAGCCCGGAAGACCCACACCAGCCATTGTATGCCTGCCGTGAAAGCCTTCGACAATACAACAATTCTGAATGTTGACATAAACTGAAGAAAAATCCCACCGTTTTTGAAGATTATTTCATGGAGCCCTGAAGTTTTGCCGGGGGATATTTTGCTAGCACTCCTGCCACCAAGTGGTGAAAATGTAACAAGGTATTTCCAAGAAGAGGTAAGCTTCAACTGATAGGTATATGTCAATGCATATTTTCATTTGGGAATGATTACCACCTGACTGCTTCATCAGAAGACAAGAGGGGCTGCCTTTCCAGGGCAAATCAGGAGTTCTCTCTGTCTGGAAGTCACCTGTTATTTCCACTTGGATCAACTTTGCATAGCCTTTGCACAGATACATCTTGTGTGTCAGTCATGTTCTTTCCTTGGCCGGGAGACCCTGCAGACGGTCGCTCGCACCTTGGTCACCTCACGACTCGACTACTGCACTGCACTCTACATGGGGCTGCCCTTGAAGACCAGACAGAAGCTACGGCTGGTTCAGAATGCAGCGGTGTGAGCAGTAATGGACACTTCTCATTGTGCCCATGCTTCACCACTGCTACACAAGCTGCATTGCCTGCCAGGTGGTTTCTGGGTGCAATTCAAGGTGCTGGTTGTTACCATTGAAGCCCTTCATGGCATAGGACCTGGTTATCAGAGGATCACCTTTCTCCTATTGTTTCATTTGGGCTGAGTGGGTGCACTCCAGGTCCCTTCTATTAAAGGCTACCATCCTGTGTGACCTAGGAGGCATGCCTTCTCTGTTGCAACCCCCATCCTCTGGAACAGCATTCCCTCCCTCCCAAGATATGGACAACACCCTCTCTCCTGAGGTTCTGAAAAGCCCTTAAAATCTGGTTTGTGTATGTGTGAGGGGGAGGGGCGCTGTCATGCTTTGTTTTAATGGCTTTAGTCTGGTCTGTCTTGTTTTGTATGCTTTTAATTGTTTTAATTTAGTACTATATATTTTGTAAGCCATCCAGAGTCTGCTGGAGTGGACAGCTATAATAAATTTAATAAAATAAACACATTTTAAAAATTTACAGAATTGTGAGGCGCCCTTCACCTGACAACATCAACTGCTCCGGCTCTGACTTTAGGGTCACTGCCCATGATGGAGACGCTGGCAGCAAAGGACCCATCAATGCTGAAGACGACACACTCCATTCCTCGGGGAAGGATGGTCAGGTAGCTTATGGCACTGCTCTGGTCTCCCCTGATGACCACGAAGGAACACAGAAAACCATTACAATACAAAGCCATCATACCTATTCAGATTGCCTCTTTTTTTCTGTTGAGATCAGAAGAGAAAACCTTCAGCTTTTCAGATGGTGCTCATAGCTTACTCAAACAATATAGAAATTCCAAGAAAGGTGTTAGCAGAGAGGAAGAATATCAAAGCATACCTTTCTCTATGGGTACATGGCTTTGCATGTCCCATTTTTGGGGAACAGCTAATAAGAAAGAGATGCCTATGGACTAGATCAAATTGCAGTGACCTGTCACCTTGTTCATTCTGCCAGTGAATCAGCTCAAGGATTTGTATACATATATACCAAACTTGTACTACCAAATTCCAATAGCAAAATTCTAGCTTTCTGTAGTTCTCGGTGACATTTATTTTTATAACAATAACTGGGAATGAGTTATAGATTCTAAGATAGTGTAATAAAAATGCAACATTCATTACAACAGTGATGGGCAACTTGTGGCCCCAAGGCTACAAGTAATCCCATTCAGTCCCTTTTTTGCAGCCCTTGGACCATAACTGTAAAAATGGATGCCAAAATTTCCTGCCATGATACAGTAGGAAACAGATGAAAACTGGAGTATAAACCCTAAAATAAATATATTATAGCTGAAAACAAAGAACTCCCCCTGCCAATTTCCAGCATCACCCACATGTGTTGTAGAAAACTCTAATCTTGAAGAATTTGCTTACTGATTAACATTTTATTAGAGTAGGACATAACTCTCAATTTCCCAATAATTTAAGGACGTATTTCTATACTTCCAGGCTTACCTGACCACCATTTTAATAGGATAGACACCAACAGCAAGTCTTTTGTCTTTGGGGACATTGTATGAGATTCTACCACTACTATTGGTAATTTCTGTATCAAAATAGACCCAACGTCCAGAGGAAGGTTCAGTCATGATGAAGACATCAACCTGAAAGATGAATGGGAACATGTGGTAAAATTCTTTTATGGAATTAAAATGCAGTAACAGAGAAGGGTACGTCAGGCAAACAAATTTCCCTACACACAAACACACAGAGTACACATCAAAGTTTATGAGGGATATGATATTAGTCTCTCAAAAAAAAATAGTTTTGCAGCATTTTAAAGCCTAACACATTTAATATGGCAGAAGCTTTGAGGATTAGTAGCCATTTCAGCAGTATGACATCACTGACAATTTTAGTCTGTTTTAACAGAAGCACAGGAAAAGCTCTCTGCTCTGTACTGTTCAATCTGCAGCTAAAGCATGTGTCCAATTCTAGATGCCACATTTTAAGAAAGACAATGCCAGATGAGGAAAATCCAGATGTGAGGGGCCTTGAAACCAAGTCCAATGAGAAATAGCTGAAAGAGCACAGCACGTTTATCCTGAAGAAGAAACAATAAAGGGAAAAATAATAGTAACTTTCAAACATCTGTAGGACTATCTTATAGAAGACAGAACAAAAATTTGAATCTACAAGATGTTGCAGGTCTAGAATATACGCTTTGCCTGTGAGATTCAATCTCTAGCATCTTTAACTAAAATCTTTCAGACAGTAGATTAATAGAAAGAAAGACTGCCTGCCTGAAACTCTGTGGACTGTTTCCAAGCAGAGTTGACAATAGTGGGCACAAAGAACAATAATGTGGCTCAGAACAAGCCAGCTTCCTATGAGCATCTTCTTGTATGGGGAAGGGCCTAATCAAGTGCTGTAGTAGTCTTTGTCTGCAAAAAACTGCAGGCCATGGGATCAGAAGCAGTGATAGGGACTTGAGGGCAGGGGAAGAGGTATGGCACTCGTACCTAGTTTGTGAATTTGGAATACAGTTAGCTGGTAGGAGAACAGAGTGCTGGACTAGAAGGGCTCATGGTCTGATCAGCTACAGGGCTCTTCTCACGTTCTTAAGGAGAAGGGCTTTCATGTCTTCAGTGGCTTGTGCTTAACAGGGAGGGAAGAAAAGACAGCCTTGGAATGTTACCTTTTCTCCTGTTAAAGCCACCATGTCAAGTGGTCCATACATGAACCGGCCAACTAGCAACTGAGGGCCATCTTCCGCAGCAATGACATCATTCGATCTGTGGTTTGAAGTTACATTCTGAAAGAGAAACAGGGAAGGGGATAAGGCAGCTGGATCATCCAAACCACTGCACAGGAGGGGCTACCCAACCTGAAAAAAAGGCAGTTGTTTTTGAATATATGAAAGAACAGACCTTTAAGATTAGGAGAAACAATCCAAAATCAAGCCTTATATGTTGACATGAGGATGAGCCTTCCTTGATCCTTTCCTTAACTCTGTATGTGTGCCTTCAAGTCAGTGCTGACTCCTGGACAAGTCCCTGCAGTTTTCTTGGCAAGATTTTGGAAGTGGTTTGCCATTGCCTCCTT